CCTGAAAACTTTTCTCTATGTTGGTAATAAATACCTTTCTGGATTTAGTTTTTCTACTTTTCTATGTACTCACATTAATTCAATCTCAAGCCCTTCTAAATTGTGTAAACCTTCTTTCAATAACTTGATATATCAGTATCTTAAAATGTATTGGGTACTGTATTTGGGTATTGTATCCATTTCATTTTCTTGCCCTAGTGCGTGGTTGTCTTGTTAGGATCCTTTCTCCTGAGCCTTGAGCATTCTCTGGGCTTCTCTCTGGATTAGATTTTCTGTTTCCTGGATCTCACTTTCTTGGTTCCCTTCCTTTATTACAGTAGAATATACCCTCCAGTGAGGGTGCATGTGAGGTAAACTGGCCAAGAATTGAATTTTTGAAAATGCCTTTATTTTTCTTAAGGATTAATACTTTAGCTAGGTATAAAATTCTAGAAAGTACTTTCCCTCAAAAACAGTGTGTCATTGCTCAATTATCTTCTAGCTTTCAAAGTTGTTGAGAAATCCAATTTGTTTCCTCTGATAGCCTGTGTTATCTTTTCTTTGTTCTAAGTGTCTTAAAATTTTACAGCGGTGTGCCTCAGTGTGGTTCATTATTATTCATTCATTGAGAGATACACTTCTCCATGGATCACTTTTGCCCGCACAAGTCTTGTGGAGTATGCCAAGAACGCAAGGCTCTGACCGTCCTAAAATCAAGTCATTTCCCAAGGTTGTGTTTGCAGTGAACAACCTTAAGGATGAGATACCTCTCCATCCAGGACAGAAGGCAGGGTGCCTTATTGTTTCCCGTAAGGGCGGTAGGTCTCTCAAGCTCAGGATTCCTACGGGAGCTGACACAAACATGCCAATACTCTTGCTGCTTGCTCTTTCATGAGTATTAAATCAATCTTTACCTCTGATCTGGGAGTCTTATATCTTCTGTCTTATACCCATGAAACAGTAGCAAGCTAACTTACTGATTACCAGTAGGGTAAAGTCAAATCCCACCTGCAACCATTGTTCTGGGCACTTGGTGGGCACTATCAATCTGAAGACGGCAAGCTTCAGATTGAGTTATTTATTTGATGATTTCCGAGGGACCTGAGATGCTACCTGCCACTCTTTCTTCTTTTTTAAAAATAATAGTTTACTGAGATAAAACTCACATACCATAAAAGCTGCCATTTTACATCGTGCAACTTAGAGGTTTTTATTATCTTTAGAGAGTTGTGCAACCATCATCACTATATAATTTCAGCTTGTACCCCCAAGAAGAAAGTCCATACCCATTATCAGCCATTCCTCATTCTCTCTCCTGGCAACCACTAATCTACTTTCTACCTCTATAGGTTTTCCTGTTCTGGACATTTCATATAAATGCAGTTATATAATATGTGACTTTTTTGTGACTGGCTTCTTTCACTTAGCAAAATATTTTCAAGGTTTATCCACTGTTGGACTGACCCTTCTATCATTATAAAATGCTCTTATTTGTCTCTCTTAACAATTTTATTCTAAAGTCTAGTTAGTCTGACACTAGGATAGCCACTCCAGCTGTCTTCCCCAGCACTTTCATTGCTTTTATGAAGGAGTCAATTTTCAAAGACCTTTAGGTAACCATTCTGTTAAGCAGAAACTTTTACTACTTCTTAAACACCCTGATAGGTAATTTTTCTGTTTTTAGACCTCTTTTCTCCCCCATTTCCAAAGTTACCCTTTGGAGATGCTGTAATACTCAGTAGCCCCGTTGTTCGACTCCTGCTGAGGATCAGGTTTCTTGAGTTTGCTGAGTCGTTTCCGTGGGTCCTTCTCCTTTGTACCTGCCAACATTTTGTGACTGTTAACTCCTTTTCTATTTCCTTTCTCCTTTATCCCTTAAAAATAATGTCTTTACTCTTACATCAGTGGGCTTCCCAAAGGAACAGAGTTCAATGAGTGATTTCAATACTTAACCAGTATTTGAGGGCAAGTGCTTTAGCTGTTAGCTGCTTTTTTCTAAGTAACCTGAATTTTCTTGTATATTCTCCAACATTTTTTTTTTATGATCAAAGGTTTTTTTCACTCTCAGGGGGACAGATACCTGCCAATATCCTAAATGTAAAGATAGTGCTTCTATTATCTTTCAAATTTAGATGTGGAATTTGAACACCTTTGATTCAAAATAAGAATAGTCAGTGGCTTCCAAGTTTTCCTGGGAGCAGTGGTTCCTGAACTTGACTTTACACAGAATCACCCTGAGGGCTTGTTCAAATACAGGTTGCTCGGCTCCATCCCCAAAGTTTCTGATTTAGGAGTCGGGAGGTGAGGCCCAAGAATTTGCATCTTTAGCGCGGTCCCAGGTGCTGCTGGTGCCTCTGGTCCCGGGGTGGGGCGCACTGAGTCTCTGCCTCCCTGTAGCATCAAAGGCATTCCCTGTGGCAGGCGAGGACATTAAGGAGGCAGATGGGAACAGAGAGGGAGAGCAGTAGGAGGTGGTGCACAGGGAGGAAAGGAATGAAGTGACTCTCCGTGCAAAACCTTAAATGGAAGCCCTGCAAATATATTTGTGGAATTTTAAAGTGGTTGGGAGTTAGAGCGGGTCTGGAGCAGTCAGTCCTTGTGTAATTGTATGAGAAACGCTAGGTTGAGGGTTGTTGTGACAGCAGGATTGTGGACATTTTGTTGGGTGGTCACTGTCCACAGGTTTCAGTTACCTCCCGAAATTTCTCCTCAGATCACCCTTTTCCTTGTTGCAAATCTGAGAGGGCAGGGACACTAACAAGTCCACATCAGCAGAAGATGGGACCTAGTGGCTGGTTTGGGTCACAGGTAGGAGCCTAGACTCAAGGCTGGGCTCTGGGTTATTTTCCTGCAGCCATTTGGAGATTCTGCCGTAATTCTCTCATTATTAGCCCTGGGGTTTTTGTTGTTCTCAGCATGTTCTTCTAGAGTATGGTTGCAAATATTGAGAAATAAATTTGTGGCTGCAGAAGATAGTATCCCAAATGATAGAGGTAGTTGGAAGGAAGCCGAGAGCAGTGAGAAGTCAAGCCCCTTGCCTTTGTGAGGCTGCCTGCCAGATGCTTCTATTACTGAAAGTGCAGGGCCCCTGGGTAGTTCCTGGTATTACCTCCGAAAGTGAGGAGCTGGGGAGAGAGGAAACAGGGTCTGGATAGATACGCGATGTGAGAAAGCAAGTTGTAGGAGGCTAGTTTTGCCTCCAACTTGTCACTTCCTTTCTCAGACTTGTTGTGATACTGTTTTACTCTGTAAAATGATGGTTTAGTTTTAGATAATTCCCAAAGGCGTTTCCATCTTGGGTATTCTTTGATTTTTCCAATATCACCTTGTATATCTTTTGGGCCGCCAGAGTAAGAAACTAAGTCTCTTGACTTCTAAGAGCTCGGAGCTCGGAGTTCATGGAAGATTCAGTCCGCCCTAAACCATGTGGTCCCAAAGGTTCCATGCTCCCTGGTAGCACTTCTCAATAGCTTTGGAACAGAAGGAAGTTCATTGCACGACAGATAGGCAGCCACACTGGGGAAAATATGATATATTGTGTTGTGTAGGCAAAAGTCAGTGTGATCCAATCCAGTCATCAGATTTTGAAACAAAGGCATGACCCTGGAACATGCTGTCGATGGCTAAGCATGGCCCTAGTCTTGTCTCCAAAAACAGTTTTAGAAAGATCAGCGTGTACTTGGCTGGTCTGTCTCTATGGAAATATCTCTCTCCTGAAATTTTTTTCTCATTCTTAGTTTGGAGGCAACTGAAATGCTCTGAAGATATTTAGTTGTAGCAGTAATTAGTTTGGCATTTTTTTAGCCTGTGTGCCAGGCTCTGTGTGAAGTGACAGAAATATAGAGAAAGACTCTTGGGCAGGGAAATGCATCTCGTAGGAGGAGAGGAGAGAAGAGGCAAAAGAAAAAAAAAGGCTCAAATTCATTTACCCATCCCTTCTTTTATTCCTCAGGGGTATGTTGAGCATTGACTATGTGTCCAGCTCTGTCCTGAGGGCTGGGGATGCAAAAGTAAATAAGACAGACACATGCCTGTGGTTCTTCAAAACTGCTTTTCAGTGAAGTTTGCTTCACCTTATGGTAGACGAAGCCAGGTCAGCCTGTGATGGGTGGCTAGATAGGCAAGATCAAGATCCTGGAGGGCTTCCCTGAGGAGGTGACCTGGGAAGGTAGAAACAGGTGGTAGCCAGGCGAGGAAAAGGCAGAAGGAACAGTTAGGGCAATGGCCGGCCAGAGGACGTGCTTAGTTGAGAACAGAATGAGGGTTTAAGGAAGAATGTTTGGAAATGAGACTCGAAAGGTAAGGTTCAGCTCCTGAAAGATTTTATCCCTTGTTGAGGTCCGTGGACTTTGACTCAAGGTAATGGGGAAACCACTTAAATATCTCATAATAGAGGAATTATTACAGAAGACTCAGCCATTTAAAAGATCATAAAGGTGATGTAACTACACAGATTTTGAGTTAAAAAAAAGTGGAACATAAAAATTGTGTGCTCACTGTGACTGCCGGTATGTAAGATACAACTATGACTATGTTCGAGCATGGGAGGATGTATGAAAGGAGGGTCTTTACTTTGCATTCTGCGAGTCTTTAAGAATCCCTTTATGATATCACTCAGCATCATATCTTTACTGCATGCCAGAAAGTAGCTCATAATACAATCCTTTCCCTTTGCCATCAAATATGGAGAGATCTAATAACTTTCATGCAGTTTTAAAAAGTTTGTGGTTATGGACCATCCAGAATAGGCGAATCCGTAGAGACAGAAAATAGATTGGTGGTTGCCAGGGCCTGGGGGAAGGAGGGACCTGGCAGTGACAGCTGACAGGTCTAGAGTTTCTTTTGGGGTTGATAGACACGTTCTGGAATCAGTGGGGATGGCTGTACAACGTTGTGAAATACACAAAACCACTGAATTGTACACTTTGGTTAAAATGGTTAATTTTATGTTATGTGAGTTTTATCTCAGTAAAACATACAGGAGTCAAAAAAAATGCTGATTGGTGTTTCTTTTCTGGTAGTAAAGGGCAATCGGAAGTGTGAGTTGAACTGCCAGGCGATGGGCTACCGCTTCTACGTGCGGCAAGCTGAGAAGGTCATCGATGGCACACCCTGCGACCAAAACGGCACAGCCATCTGCGTGTCCGGGCAGTGCAAGGTACGTGCCCTGGACTTGGGTGTCTGGAGCGGATTCTCAGGGTCTTTGGCCGGTGACTGCTGACTCCGTTGCCTGTCAGGCTATGGCCTGCCAGCTACCCCCACCCCATGGCGGGGCAGGGTGCCCCTAAACCATGAGCTCTGGGAGAAATGGGCTGGGACAGGGCGAGTTGGTCCTCTCTGCTTTAGATCTCTGGGAGTCGCTCTGTCTCTCTCTGGCCTGTCAGTGAGTATGTGATCTGTGTTCACACCACATGTGCGTCTAAAGAAAATGCCTCCACGGTCTTCCCTCTTTGGATCTGGAACTCCTTCCTTTCCTCTGAAGTGGAGGCTGTGAAAAGGGCCCTGGCAGTGCAGGCAAGAAACCGTTGGCGTCATAAGGGTGGCATTTTAAGGGCATGGCATATTTTATCTTGCCTCCCACCAGATGGGGCAGGCTTCCAAATGAAGGCTGTTAGTGCCTTTTATAGCAGACGTACTTTTAACAGGAAGAGTTTTCAGCCTTCTCGGACCTCTGAAGTCTGTTCCAGGAACTCCCCGCCCTGCATTCGGCAAACATTCTGGGCTTGAGAGAATCTCTGTGGGAGACCCACCTTTGACAGAAAGCACCATTTGGTTAAAAATGGGCACCTTCAATGAGATGGCACAAATCCCATAGCCACGTTAATTTAGGCCTGGACTGCCACCCACCCTGCACTTATAAATACATCACCAGCAGGTAAATGATGCTTTGGGACTCAGACCAAGATTCTGTCTTAATGAGCACTTGATAGCTGGCAGGACTGATTTTCATCAAAGGAAGAGCTCTTTAGTTATCCCCTTGAAAGTTCCTGTTACTCTGAATGTGAGCTGCTGTAGAGTTCAGTATCAGAACTATTGAAGTGTGATTTATATGCATCATCTTCAACCTCCCCGCCTTTTTATTAATGAGGAGGCTTCAAATAGGATACAAAATAACTTACCAAGCCGCATGGATATATTCTCACATTTTGAATGAAAGTTAAGACAGGAAAAAGCTGTTGTATGGTATCTAGTGCATGCGTGGTGTCTTTGGAAGAGCAAAACCCAAAAGAATTAGGAGGTGGTGTGGAAGAGCCAGGGAGGCATGGGGGGAAATGCACCGGAGGCTGAGACCTGCCCGGCCTGCAATTTTCCCCTCCTGCAAAAACCGCTGGGATCCACACATCCACTCCGAGCCTCCCCGTCCTCAAATAATACCTAGAGAGTTCTGTTAGAGTTTCCTCATCTCCATCTCAGTGGTGTCTCTGTTTCTAAGTATGACCGAGCCTGAAATGATGGACCTTACAGCAGCCCAGCTTTTTCTTTCAGGTCCTGAATCAACTGTTTTATTTCCTGAATACAGGTGCATACTTCTGGGAGGTGGTCTAGTAACATGGTCAAAAAATGCCCTCTGAAGTCAGACTGCCTGGGTTCCAATCTTGCCTCTTCTACTGATTTACTGTATGACCTTCGCAAGTTACCGAAGTCCTCTGTGCCTCTGCACCAGGAGGACGATTGTACCTACCTCCTGTGTTTCAGTGAAGAATCATATGAGACTCTTAGAATGGTCTGGCATTTCATGCAGCATGCTGGCACTCACTAGAATTGCCATCATGTCTGTCCTGTTGTATTTGAGTTTTCCATGCAAAAGCACTTGCTGTTTGTTGGTTGGTTGATAGATGATAGATCTGTGAGAGTCACATGATCTTATGAGGCTGATACAGGGTGAATCACCAGGGATTACAGTTTCTGACTTAGTAGGACTGGGGAAGGGCCTCAGAGTACCAAATTCTCGTGTGGTTAAGATGCTGCTGGACCATACATCATACTTGGAGTAGCAAAGTTTAAAGGGATACTTTGATTAAACTATAGTTAACAAATAGTCAGAAATGTAAATGTAGAGTGGTGAAGTGACTTGGGAGGAAAAGAAGTGCGGTCTCTTTCCACTGGGGTAGCGTGTTTTCTTAGTGCTACATTGAGTATCTCCGAGCTGATGAGCTGAAAGAAAAACAAACACTTACAAGGACATGGGTATGGAACCTTACTTATTGATGAAAAGCATCCAAAGTGTAGGGCATCACAGTTTGAAGATGATAATTGCTACAAGACTGAAATAAACATTCCCCAGGATGTGAGTAGATTAATAGGAATCTGATGTTACAAGGACTACTTTGATATTACTATGCATCTGTTCTCTGTACATTTGCCTGAAATGTGCTCCTTGAAGTTGTTGGAGCCACTGACTATCCCGTCCTCTTTAGAACTTCAGTTCAAATAATCAGAAGTACATTTGCTTCCCAGGCTGAGGTTCTGTTTACTTCGCAACATTCAAAGGGTAATGTGCCCTTTTCTGAATATTTGATTGGAAGCCCAGAATTCAGACTGGTATCTCTGCCTCCCTGACTCGTGGCTGAGAGCCATCCCACGTGGGCATGAGTGTCTGTGTCTGAAATAGCTCCAGAAAGCCTCTGCTGGCCACACCGTGTTGAAATGCAAACAAAAAGGCCTGCAAGAAAAGTTAATGAAGGACGACAAGCATTAGAGGAGAATATGGGCTAAACCCAGAAAAGAATAGCTGGGTAAGGGGTCCTCACCACACTAAGCCCTGTGCAAATAGGCAGGCTGCGTTCCCGAGTCCGAGCGAGCCCTCCCTGGCAGGCCTGCATTTACCCCACCGCTGGAGCAACTCTGTGTTTGAGATCCAAGAGTTGGAAGAGTGGTAGGAAGAATGCAGGCATCCTAGGTCTGGCTTAGGGGGGAACTTGGAACTGGAGAAAATGGGGGTCCCTCTCCAGTCTCTCAGAGCTAGATGACACCTCCTTTTACGGACAGGGACTCGTGTATCCCAAATGTGGGCCCACAGACAGGCTTTGAGAGGAAAGAGCTTTGGCCTTTTCTTTTCCTAAAGCAAGACAATGTATCTGCAGCCAGCAGAGAATCTGCCTCCTCAGCCCAACTCCTTCCCTCTAGACGTCAAATAGGAATGTCTGGCCTGTGTTCAGAGAAGGCTTTAAGACACTTCCAGCCCTGCCTAGTCATTAATGTCATTTATGGGAATGAAACAGCATTTATGTGTAATTAACAGCACAGTAATAACTTCTTTCATGAAGCATCACATTAACTATGATGTGATTTTTTTACTTGACCTCAGCTTTAAGCTGTCTAAAAAGTTTGAATTTTCAGAGTTTGATGGTGCATGTGTTATTTTTGGTCACAACTTCATAAAAATGGATGAAACTTTGCCTTCAGCTTTATAGCAGGTGGCATTTAAAAGAACAAGGTCACTTGGGTAAAGGACTAGGAAATAAAAAACAACTTTTCAACTCTCTGGAGACCAGCTTTTCAGAAACCTAACCTTCCAGACTTGAATGATCCTGAAAGAGTCAGAATCACCCCAAGACTCACCCTTCTCTCCCCAAAAATGTCTTTGGTGGTAAAGGAACAGTCCTTCACTAAGAGCCTGGCAATCAATAGGCTGAAAACCTCAGAGGAGGAAAGTGCTGGAGTTGATGCAAGCTAGCAAGGAGCCATTTCTGAGAATTTCCCTCATTCCAGACACTGTGCTATGTGCATTACAGACCAACAGGCATCATTAATCCATTTGTCTTCACAACCACGCAGTCAACAGGAATTATCAACCCCCGTTTTACAGCAGACTGTTAGATGAGTGAGTTGGACGCATTAAGTACTGCATAGGGACTGACTATCAATAGGGTGTTCTAGGCGGACCTCTTCATCAGAACAGAAAGACTAGTTTATATGTGCTGGGAAGAAGCCCATGTGCTTAAGTGTCTCCCCTCTTCTGAGTTTATTTTCATCACTGCCTCTTTCCAAAACAGACTGTCTTTCCAAAACACACATCAGGGCATGCCTCTCTTTTGCCTAAATTCCATCTGTGGCTCCCCATTGCCTCTGGAGTAAAGTTGAGGCCCCACATCATCTGTCTGCCTCCTGCCTGCCCCCCCTTGGCTGGGCTGGGCCACGTTGCTCGCTGAGCCAGCAGGCCTGCAGGGTTGTTCCCTCATGAGAAAGTACACACCGTCCCAAGTCAGCCTGGAGTGCTCTTTCGTGCCCACTCTTGGCCACCTGGTCTGCTCAAAAGCCACTGGCTGAGCCCCTGGAGCACCGTCTCCCTTCTCCTGCTGCCACTTTCTGTGGCTGTTTGTTCCCACTGCCCCCATCCACCACCCCGCAAGGCTGTGAGCAATTGCATAGGTGCTCAAAATAAATGTGTAAATGGATTGAGGTCTTGATGACTCAATGGACTGGATGTCAGCAAATGAAATGAGTCTTAAATCCATCACGGAGTTTTCTCATTTGGGGCTGGGATGGGCAGTTGAGTGCAGATAAAACGAGAGCCCGAAGTCCCCTTGGCCGGTCGCCAGAACCCAAGGCCTCAAAGGTTAAAGGGAATTCTTGGTGCCTCCCAAGCTCCTGTCCCCGTCATCTTATTTTGCTCACTCTGAACCTCTCGAGTCCCTTCAGGGCTAATGACAGGAAGAACCTAAGCGGGGGTGAGAGAGCACACTCCCACGGTGACTTCTGTTGAAGGGAAAGAACGTGCTCCTGCCCCGGACCTGTCCCCTCTCACCTCCGGCAGGTCATGGCTTCCATTTGGGGTGCTTCCTGCAGCCCACCATCCATCTGCACTCAGAGGGCCTTTCACACCAACTCCCCAAGCTGGGATGCTGCTAGGGTTCCCCCGGAACACAGCCAGTGTCACATTCATCCAATCAATGAAAGCAAGATAACCATTTCCAAACGTGTAGAGAGAAGCTCTGGGCCAGTGTGTGTCACCCTAACGGGGAAGGAGGACATACTGGACGTGTGTACCTGGGTGTGCACTTGTGTGTGTTCAGGCCCTGGGTTTCCAGCCTCCTCCTTGTAAACCACTGTTGTGCTTTCCTGAGCCAAGCGGGTCGACCTGCTCACTTCTGTGCTGTTTGTCTTCAGTTACCTTTTTTTCTTTTGGTTACTGACTTTATTTTGTGGACTTTGCATAGAGTTCCGCTCTTACCAAGAGAATTGTTATTCTCATTATAAATTTTTATTCGTAATAAAATAATAATAACTAATTATTATTATTACCAACAGAACATTCATGTTGGATAAAGTGTTCTCACTTTTGCCA